TTTTTTTTTTTTTTTTTTTTTTTTGTCTTTTGTCTTTTTTCCGTGTCTGGCAACGGATCGCAACCCTCAGTGTTGCCCCCGTACCGGACCGGGGACCGGCAACGGGACTGCAAACCTCGGCGCTGCTCCCGCGCCTCGCTCAGCCAGTGAGCGGGAACCGGTCTGTATGTGGGATGGGCATTTTTAAAATCAAGTTGTTGTAATATCTGTATAAGTTACCATAATAAGAAGTAAGAACGTAAGTTATGTATAACAGCATAATATTTCTAAGCCTCAGTTTTCTGTACCATTGGTTTCCCCAAACTCATACCACACCACAGCAATGTTTGACAGTCACCCTGACCTCAGCTATAAAATGTGAGCATTCCAGGGAAAAAATCATCTTTCCAGATATACAAAACTTTTACCACTTTTACAATGACAAATATTTGTGATCATGCCATCCTAACATCCTAACAACAGGTAGCCTAACACACAGTATGATCTCAGGGAGTAATGATGCACATTTGTAGACCACTTTACAAAGCACTTTTACAGACAAATGCCTAGAATCTAAAAATTCCATTCTCCTCCTTTTTACTGCCAAATGAATTGCACCAAGGGACCCAAATATGTTTCTTAAGGACAGATCTTTTGTTAAAACTGGCAGATATTTCATTTTCACTAATTCTAGGACCCCTAATGCTATTTGGATAGCCTATAAATAGTGACTGGCATGATTTACACAACCAAAGAATATGAAATCTTACTTAAAAATTTAGATTCTCAGTTCACATATTCTCTTTGAAAAGTAGCAGGAACAATTAACTTTCCTCTGAAGGAAATTTTTTTGTTTTTAACACATTTTAATTTTAGAGCACAAAACAGATACACATGCACAAAAACAATAAATCTAATTCTTAAAGTACAAAATCAAGCATATATTTAAACCTCCCACAAATTCCTTGTCTAGTTTTTGTATCAGTCCCATGTATATATGAGACATAGAAAAATTACTGACAGGAAACACAATGAATGGTGAACAGTGGTTGAATTACAGATGACTTATTTCTTCTTTATATCGTTCTAGATTTTCCAAATACAATACACTGAACTTGTATTATATTTTCAGGAAGAAAATTATTATATTAACTGCAATTTTTCTGTATACATATTAATTCTCTCTTTTTTTTTTTTTCCTTTTTGTCTTTTTTACTGACTGGTAACGGGATCTCAACCCTCGGTGTTGCGCCCGCACTGCGCTCAGCCAGTGAGCGGGAACCGGTCTCCACATGGGATCCAAACCCTTGACGGGAGCGCCACCGCGCTCCCAAGCGGCGCACTCTCCAGTGCGCCACCGGGCCGGCCCCTCTTTTCTTTTTTAATTAAAAAAAAAAAGGATCAAAGGCTGTCTGGTTCGCTCAGTTGGTTAGAGCACAGTGTTAATAATAGCAAGGTAAAGGGTTCGGATCCTTGCACTGACCAGCTGCCAAAAAAGAAAAAAAAAAAAAAAAAAAAAAAAAAACCTTCCTGATAATACTTACCAAAAAAAACCCTTCCTTTTCATCAAATTGGTGATAGCATTCAAAAACCACTGAGATCCCTACATGCTGAAAATGAGCAACATCTGCTTCATACTAAACTGCACACATTTGTCAGAACCCTTTCACTTACTATCTAAAATGTGTAATTTCTCCCGCAGACAGCAGTGGGCACTCTGTGACCCTTTAAAAGTCAACACTTGAATCCATTCCTGGGTCTTTTCCATCTCAGCTCTTAAAAAAGCCGTGACAGACAACAACTTAATATCCATCTCCAACAGTACAGAACAGAGCATCTGGTAATGGTGATGGTTATGAAGCCTAATCAGTCAATAAATAACAAACATTTTAATTAAAGAATCCACTACACAGATTACAATTATCTAAACTACTCCAACCCCAATTTTTATCAAAACAATTTAATTTATAAGCAAGTTTGACTAGGCCAGTGTGGAAAGCTCAGGAAATCTGAAAAAACTATAAAGATGTAAGTCACACTCAATCTAATTAAAACCAGTTTCATTTCATTCTCAGATGGCTAAAAAACTCACCAAAACAAACAAACGAAAGAGTTCATTACAAGGACTCAACAGTAAAGTTAACTTTGCTCATTACCTAATACTGTATGTGCCCGCAGATCTTGGACATATTTAGTTTCTTTTTTTTTTTTTCCTTAAGTTACCAGATTTAGATATTAAAATGCACTCAAACCCACATCAATTATGGAGTATGAGGAGTAAGCCGTCCACTGATTCATGTGGGGTACAGTGGGCCATCCCAGGGAAAACAGAGCAAGCAGCTCTAGGTAGAAAAGTCTCTCTTGGCTTTCTGAGGGCAACACAGAAATAGGGCGGAGTGCCTGTTGATGGCTGAAACCATCCCTTCACTCACCCAGGAGAAAAGCCATTTCTTCATGCACTCGAGGGAATACAAAATATCACTAAATGATATAAAAAAACACTCCATCAACCAAGCTGACTACCAAGAAGCCACATCTCCCACAGATGTTTAAGGGTATTTTGCCTGACATCATTTGGTGAACATTTTGTTTTCTATTGTGCTAAAATGCCAACTTGGGAGAGCAATAGAGAAAATGCAATATAAAAAACATAACAAGGTATCTCCTTGAGAACCAAAAAAACAATAACTTAAATGAAGGGAGATCTCAGAAACACTGGCTATGAAACGTACTAAAGCATACTCTCATGTATTAATTTAGGTATTAATGTGTTTGCAACAAAGAGAGTATGACCAACGACTTCAATCAACTGGATATATCAGGAAGAATAAAATGTCAAAGGAAATAGAACAAGAGGGAAATTGAAGGTTTGGAAACTGGATTATATTATTTCATATTCAATTTATCAGTTTACACAATCATGTAAGCTCAGGTAATAGACCAGTGAAAGAAAAGAGAATACAAGAAAGCTTAATTTAGCTTACAAGATAAAACAAAACAAGGGAGATAAATTCTCTCCCAACCATCACCTTTAAAGAACACCTTGCAAAAGTTATTTATATTAGCAGAAGAAGCTGTTTTCCCAGAGCGTGGCATAATTAAAACTCAGTCACCACCATCTGAGGTGCTTGAATATATCTGCTGTGACTTGCCTCTCCCTAAGGAGCTGTAGCTGAAACCGATTTGCTAGTTTCATCAATTCTGTCAGGAACACATCATCTTCTCTGAACTCCAACTCATCCGTATAGATCCAGCGAAGCATTGTCATTGTTACCTCAGGGTTTGCATCTGGTTAAAGAAAGAAAGTAGACAGAAAAACTGAAAAAGCAATGGATGATACACTTAGGACTTCATGTAGGATCACTAAAATTTGAGGTTAATAAAGTAAATTCCAGTACACCCCACCCAAAGAAACATTACTCAACCATTAAAAGTGGCAGCTAGGCAGTCTAGGCAACATCTGACTCCAGAAAAATGTTAAAGTTTTGCATGGGGCAGTGGGTAAGAGAAATCAACCTACTAAAGACATAACTGGGGGAAATATTTGAAACATGACAAAGAGTTAACATTCTTATAAAAGTATCATATAAATAAAAATGAAAAGATGGACACCCAATGGAAAAATGGGCAATGAATATAAATGGGTAATTCACAAAGATAAATAAACCTTACCAATAACCAAATATAAACTAGAACACAAATTTTTGTCTCTCAGACTAGCATAGATTTTAAAAAGTGCATAACCATTTACACAGCAATTGTAAGTGTGGATTATTAACCTAAGAAAATAACTGTGTAAATACAGAGAAATGTATGTACTAAGATACTCCGTAGTATTATTTTTAATAATGAAAAACTGAGACAAAAATCTTAAGAGTCCAATAATGGAGAGAACAAATTAAATAAATTAAATTATATATCCACATTAGAAAATTCTGCAGCAATTTAAACTATATGAGGGGTCTTCAAAAAGTTCATGGAAAAAAGAATTAAAAGATAATATAAATCTTTCCATAAACTTTTTGAAGACCCCTCACGTAGACCTATGTTCAACATAAAAAGATCTTTACTACATGGCAAGTAAAAAAAAAAAGTAGGCTAAAAACACATATATAACATTATCTATTTTTTGTGTGCATGTATATATGTGGGTGGGTGTTTATATATATATGCACACACCACACATATACAGTTTGTGTGTCTATCTATCAAGGGACTGGAAGGATACACACTAAAATATTAATCCAGGTAGAATTCATAACTAACTTTTCTTTTAGCTTACTATTTCCCCTGATTTTTATTTAATAAACATGCATTACTTGCTCAATTTTTTTATGTTAAAATAAATACCATAGAGAAACTTGGAGAAATGCATGGGATGAAAATTGTAGTATAAAATATCTAAACTATTATTTCAACTAGAGTCAATTCTCGATTAGTCAGAATAAGAAGAGTGATTGGTCACAGGACCACTTAAAATCATAATCTATGCCAGTGGTTCTCAAAGTGTGATCCTCGGCTAGCAGAATCAACACCATCTGGGAACTTGTTAGAAATCCTAATTCTCAGGGCCGGCCCGGTGGCGCACTGCTACAGTGCGCCACTTGGGAAGTGCGGTGGCGCTCCCGCCGAGGGTTCGGATCCCACATACGGACCGGCCGCTCACTGGCTGAGCAAGGTGTGGGTGCAACACCGAGGGTTGCGATCCCGATGCCGGTCCTGGTCCGGTACGGGCGCGACACTGAGGGTTGCGATCCGTTTCCGGTCACGAAAAAAAAAAGACAAAAAAAGGGAAAAAAAAGAAAAGAAATCCTAATTCTCAGACCTACTCTAAACAAACTGAATCAGACACTCTGGGGCGGGGCCCAACATTTGTGTCTTAACAAGTCCTCCACGTGATTTTGACACCCACTAAGGTTTAACAAACTATACTCAATTCTTGATTACCTAGGAAAGTACACGAACCAGGAATACTTTATTAACTTAGTAAATAGGTAACAGCTGATTAGTTCTGATTAACCCCCTGTCTTCCAACTATAGTGAGGAGGAGAGGTTTGAAGGGAGTAATATCAAATGAGTGGAATCGAAGACCCCTGATTTACCTGAACCAGATTAATCTAGCATCATCTCCTAAAACAATCAGATATTAAAAGGGGGAAAAAAAGGGCATAATGAAAAAGAAAAATGGAAGATACACTAAAATGCATAACAAATAGTCATTATGCTAAGGTTTCTTTTTCTTCTTTTATTCGGTAATGTAGTAATAGCACTTTTAAAATGTTTTAAGAAAGAAAAAACATTTTAAAATGAGACAAAGCTAATCAGATTTATTTAAACAAGAGGTACTTTAACTAAGCTGTCTAAGATGTACAGAGTAGATCTTGGAAGCAGGGAAGCTTAGAATTTCTAAGTTACCTTTAATAACTCAGTAGTTACCTTAATGGAAAAAAAAAAAAGAAAAAGTAGGCCATGTGATTTGTCCAGAGTTTTCAAAAATGCCAAAACACATACTTCTCCTCTCATATAGCTTATTGCTATCCAGTGAGAGAATCCCCGTCCCCACCATCACCCTTAAACGTTTACCCTGTAGTAGTTTCTTTAATTGTTTCAAAATTTGACTGGTTTCCTTTAATAACTCTCCATCAATTGTCCAAAAGAATAAACATGACCTGACCAACCAATAAACCAAAACCTAAATAATGGGGGGGGAAAAAAAGTTTTAAACTACCTTCAGCAGAGATTTCCTGCAAGGCCTGAATATTTCAAATAAAATGAGGTTCAAGTGATTTCCGAACACTCTCACTCCTACCTTAATTCTTCCCTTAATTGCCAAAATATACTGAGAATAAATTCATTTTGAGACTCAGACTAACCAGCCAGTGGTATAAGGGTGGACAGAGAACAACAAACCAGAAGAGGGTATGTGCTCCCAATCATGTACTTTCAGGGAAATCAGGTGGCCTATCTGCTTCCAGTCTACTTAAATAAGTGGTTATAAAAATCATAAACCAGGAGTTCTCTTTAAAAGGAGTAGACTCAGAAGAGAAACCAGTTGGCCTCCATGCCCTGCATGGTGTATCTGCAGCTAGAGGCAATCATCACCCCCCACCCCCAACTAGTAGGCACAGGACAGAAGCCAGGAATATCTATGACTTCAAGTATAAAAAAAATAACACCCAAATTTCAGACTTTGTTTTACTGTAGTCCAGGATGTATGTGGACACACTGTGGAGAAGATGTGGCCTAGTTTTTTGCTTTGTTTTGATTTGATTTTAAATACATGTTTTATAAGACACTTGAAAAGAATGAGAACAAACATAATATGTATGCAATTAATCATTAAAGAAAGCATACAGAGTAAATTAATGATTTCTTAAATCCTCTATGTATTCTGTCAAGAGCTGAGAAAGCTGTTTAAAATCTGCTACCACGATACAGTTTAAATACTCTTTGAGTTTACAACTATTTTTTCATCTATTTTATATAAAAGATTTTGATTCATAAAATCTTTTATCAGTAAAAACATCCTCTTTAGTCAGTTTAAAGATGCACCCTTAAATATAACCTCCTCGATATAAAATTAAATCTCAAATCATACTTTTTGCTTGGGATTACCCCAATAATTACTGAGTCAAAAAGAAATAAAAAGACAGAGTTCTGTTATGTTATATATAGTTATAGCTCTATTATAGTTCTATTATGGCAGTGTAACAACCCGTACAATTCTAAATGATTTTAGATAAAAATTCTACATAGAGTAAAAAAAAGCAACCACCTGAGGATTTGGAAAAGTAAACAAAAGCAGATGAATTGTGGAGGGAGACAAAACTTGAAGAAGAACCACACTGGATGAGTTTTGTTTTTTTCTCTCTCTTACAGGTTTGTCCTGAAGGTGAACCACAGTAAAGAATAAGAAACTACCCAGTAACTGCAGTGACCATGGGGATGGCTACAGCTCTAATAAAAACTCTGGTCTTTATGAGGCAGATGAACCAGGAAAAGGGGCCCCAGGAGACTGAAGAATAAGGAGAGAATTCCAAAGTGAAGAGTGCCAGAGAAGATCTTCTAATTCTGTGTATGAACCCACACAACCTCAGGCTCACTTCTCAGCTACTCACACATCGAACAGTCCCAACCCAGCTTTAAGAACTGAAAGGATATTTAAAAATTTACCCACAGGTGAAAACAAAATTTTCAGTCTGAACCTAAGGAGATTCAACATTTTCCAAAGATTTATACAGAACCTGGAGTCTACAGAGCATCACAGAACATAGCACAGCGTCCAAGATGCAATCCAAAATTATTTGACCTAGAAAGAACCAGAAAAAAATGTGACCAATCCTCAAGGGAAAAGACAATCAACCCCAGTTGTTGAATTATATCTAAGACTTGAAAGCATCAAATATAAATACGCTCCAGGAGTGAAAGGAAAATAAACTTGAAAAGAGAAATTTGCAGCATGACTGGCCAGGTAGCTCACTTGGTAGAGTGTGGTACAGATAACACTGAAGTCAAGGGTATAGGTTCCTGTACAGGCCAGCTGAGATAGGAGGTGCTCAGTTTCCCTGGGTTTGGGTTTCAGAACAGACCTCTGGGTTTCCAGCCACTTCCTGAGGTCTCAGGCCTCTCCTCTAGAAGCTCCCCAAGAGAAGAGTTACTGTTGCTGGTTGGACCTATTTTTGACACCAACAGGCAGGAAACTGAAACCTTGGGGGCTGACCTATGCAAATCCAGTGGCTGGGCATGCTCAGTAGAAAGGGGTTATATAAGCCTAAATAGCCAAGCATGCTCAATAAAGTGGAGTTTATATGTATTAGACAGTAAAACTATAAAAATTGAATCCCACAGAAAGTGGGGTTATTGCTCACTCTCCTGAAGCCAACTCGCACTTCATTTGAGTTGTGTATTTCTTTTTTTTTGTATCAAACTTGCCTTTAGCAGGCTGCTATTCACTCTGGGGCCAGCCAGCTTTGTCTGTAAATGTGTATCTCTTACTTTTGTTTTAAACGTGGTGCAGGCCCTGCTCAGTCTCTGGAGCTAGGCCGCACTCTCTCTGTGAAATCTGTACTTATTCATTACATTAAATCTGTTCTCACTTTCTACTGTGACTCTACCCTGTGGCAGTCAAGAATGTGGTAAGAGGCTGCCTATTGGGCCTTCCTTGACCCCTTCTCCTCCGGCATTATAGCCACAAAAAAAAAAAAAAATTTTTTTTTTAGCAAATAAACTATAAAAAACAACAAACAGGAGTAATAGACCTGAAAAATACAAAATGTGTAATAAAAATG